ATTAGGACCCACATGGACTGCAGGGTGAGCACCCCCTGCTGGCCCCACTAACACCTCTTCCAGCAGCAACCTTAGTTTTCCCAGGAGGTCTCTCATCCAGGTACTGACCAGGCTCACACCTGCTGAGCTTCGGTGTGTTGCCAGTTGTGAGTTGCAGGGTGATATGGCTGCTGGCTAATGTTAAACATTCCAAGAAGGAAAAGTTCCATAACCGCATGTAATAAAGCAATAAGTATTACAAAAGCAGACAAAACATGTGAATGTTAATTCCACCTTAACAAAACATAAGACATTTTAGGCTTTAATTACTTTGGAAGGTCGTGGTTTCCACCTACTGGTAAGCAATAAATGCACATCATTAGTCAGAACACTGGGGAAACCAGTTCAAGGCCTTAAAGGAATATTGTGAAAGGACAAAAAAAGTGTAGGACAGAAAAAATAAAATTAGTGACAAAAGTGCCAAAAATCCCTCACATAATATGGTCTGCTTGGAATATTAAGGGTCCTGTCTATGCTGCTCTATTACACAGTTGGGTTAAGTTGGGTTAACATTAACTGTCATGGCACAATACTGAACAGACAAAATGGCAGTGTCAGACTCAGAGGTAAAACAGGAAGAGCAGGTCTCTAAAGTTAAGAGATTTCATCAGTGCTGACTTTAAACTTTTCTCAAATTCTAATAGAAACTTTCTAGAAGTCACAGATCTACAGCAGAGAAGGCTGTCACAGTGGGTAAAAAAAAACAATGAAACCCCTTTACCGTATATTACTGCCATGTCTGCTGCCTTGAACTTCAAGATCCTTCCTAGAGATCCTCACATCTACAAGCCACTTACAAGTAAACAAGCAGGAAGGGACAAACAGCCAACATCGGTACAAAGAGAGCTTAAGATTTGTTTATAACCTTCTAACAAACCAACATTGGTTTATTAGTATATCTAATAAACAGATAAACTGATACTCATAAAACCCACAATAACATTTAAAGATAAATATCATGCATCAATTTTCTAACTGCTTTATCTAATATAGGGTCATAGGGGAGACAGAGCCAGAGCCTGTCCCAGCAAGCAGTGGGCACAAGGTGGGACACACCCCACACAGCATGCCAGCTCCTCACAGGGCACAGACAACCACACACTCACACCAGAGCCAATTTGATCACAAGAAAAAGAACCTACCAGCATGTCTTCGGTGCAAATAGCAACCCAGGAATTGAACCCAGGGCCTCAGCCCTGCAAGGCAGTAAGGATAACTACTGCACCACCATACTGCCCATAAACCTAAATTAATCATAGAAAAGTCTACAGTTTTAACGTGCTGCCATAAATAACCTAAGGCAATGGTTCTCAATCTTTTTAAGTCACAGCTGTATTGCCAGGTACAAAAAAGCCTGATCTGAAACAGATTTATCTTGTATATTGGAAATAATAAAAAGTAGTATCAAAATTAACCTAACCTATTACATGCTTTCTACCGTCTTTGAACTCTGAGTATCTTAAGTTCCTTCAAAAGTTATGGGATTGGACATTAAATTGGTAAAAGCAATTGCTGTGTTTGTGAGAAGTGTACTAAATGTAGTTTCTAACAGACACACAACGGAATAATTGCAGAAACAGGGTTATGTATTTGTTACAACTCTGATTCAATGAGTCAACACATTTTTTTCAAAAAACTTTTTGATGTCAAAGTCACTTAACCTTGGAAAGCAATTTGAATTTCGTGAGATTCATCTTCAAATAAGTTAGCATGAACTCCTTTGCTGGTTAGTTGACCTTTTAATGTAACTGCATTTTAACAGCTGGCTTAAGTGTAGAACCAAGATCTTCTGACATTTTATCAGGACATGCAGTTAGGAGTTTCTTTTTCAAACATTTCTGAAGCCTTTATTTATATCCTTTATAGAAGCTATACCATCAGGACAACAAGCAACTTTCTGCCAATTTATTTATTCTGTCCTTCACTCTAGTATTTGACAGTGGAACAGCTTTTAATTTATCTGTAATCTATGGTCCATAATGATCTCAATCATTTCAATACACGCTGGTTTGATCTTCAGCAACAGTGTGGTCTCCCTTTTCCAGCATTTCAAACTGAACACCAGAAAGAAACTTGTGTGACCTGCTGCACCCCACACTTTTGCATTTTGTATATTAATTGGCTTGTTTCCAGCTGAAATGTTCCCCTTTCCATAAAAAGCACTCATGGTAGTTATAAGTAGTTCAGAGGTGTTTTGTTTCCTAGTACCTTGTTAATTTGCTTGGTTTTGTGCTGTCAATTTCAATCATTTTGCTGCAGTTAAAACACTGAGGTTTTTTGTCATTAAGTTCTCCCATCAATTTGAACACCATACTGCTGCTGGGGTATGAACATGCCTATTTGTTGCTCTTGTGGGCAGAGGCTTAACTACAAGATGCCTTGCAGCCATTTTGAAGTTTTTGAGAAACACCAGCTCTCTCGATATTCCACATACGCTTAATTAATGATGCCTCACCTTGCAGATGAATTGACAGTCTCTGAATACCATCAGTTGCCATAACAACTATTAAACGTGTATCCTAATAAATGTAAAACAATAACATGAATCATAAAAGTTTTGTATGCTTGCACAACTACATCTCTAAAAAATGGTTTTAATTTTAACATAAAAAATGCAAAATGTAAACTACGTCAGTGCTATTCAAGTCTCAGGTACCCCCAGTAATCTCTGTTGTTCTCTACCCCTACCACCACCGTGAGATCAGGAACTGATGAATGAAGCACAATGCCTTCTTTTAGCTGTTTTTAAAAATGACTTTACAAAACTTGCAATTAATGCTACATAGTACTTCATAAGCCAAATGAAATGCAAAGCAAGCAGGCTTTGCCACCAGACCAGAGAAAGTCTACTACTTCTAAGGCAGCTGTTCCTCCACTCTGTGAGAAACAAACTCAGAACGGCTACACAGATTCACATTGTACTCCCCTAGAGGACAGAAAGCAAGAGAAACAGAGCTACGTGCAGATAAGCTGTCAAGGCTGGGTATTCCCTGAAGTCTGTTTCTTCTATTCACATCAAACAGAATAAAACAAAGTTCCTTTAAAAAAACAGATCATTAAATAGAATACAGAGCAGCTCTGTTTGTATAATAAAAGAAATTCAGTTCTGATTGCTAAATGGGACTAAATGTCTCTAATAAAACAGCAATGTTCCTTAATGATTAAATTAGTATTTTCCTTGACATTTCCTCGAAATATCCATATGTGTAACAGTAAAAAAATATTTTAGTTGATTTTTTTAAAAAAATCAATAGAAAAGTGAATACCAAGTGAAAAATATGTTTAGGTTACATGGCCTAAAAAATAAGAACAGGAGAGAACAGTGAAACGTGATTTTCTGTGTTTTTTTATTTTGCTTTAAAATAAAGAAATGCTATAATGTTAGCATGACATGAAAAAACGCTGTATATTCCAAATGTAGAAAATGCTGTATATAAGGTGCTCATACAGTTACATTCCCTGTTCCATCAGCTGTATTCAAAAACTGTATATGGAGCAGCAACACCTTTAAAACTTTAGGAAGAGACTATGATGTGAGAAGCAGGATCCCATATCAAAAAACAGCACACACCAGAGGGCAGAGACAACAAAGACATTAATATCTTCCTGTGCAGAATGTAACCGTCCATAGGAACATAGTTCCTGCAGTGTCATCAGAATTAGAATTTGCTCTGTCATCCTTCTGTGCACATTCTTACTTTTCACACTTCTGTCTGAACAAACCAAATAATTTTATAATCAACATGCACATACAGTCTACAATAAAGCAAAATTTAATTGTTTCAAGTTATGTAATATTTAATATTTCTAATATTTTAGACAGAAAACTGAAAGAGCACAAAATTGATATTCTAAAAAATTGGCAGCCACTTACAGGACATGCAGGATTTTCCAAGTCAAAACCCATGTAGACAAAAAAGAAACCTGTACAGAATGCCTTTTATCAAAGATGTAATGTTTTTTTCTTGTTGAAGTTATTTTCTTGATGGGCCTTTTCTTGAGGTAAGATGTTTTATCTTGTATGACTTTGGCATTCTGGAACAGACTCACCACATTAGTCTAGTGACAGGACAATTGTAGCAGCAAGTGTTTGAGCACTAATGGCTTGTGATTATATTTTGCATGGCCTTAATTCTCCCATTACATATCCATCACTCAGCATTACACCAAAACCTTGACAATAACTGAGAAAATCAATAATGCTTTCAACATATTTCTGTAAAAGTACTTTGGTAAATTGTAAAAACAGAAACATTAAGAATCTAAATTAATTAATGAAATTTGTGTTAATGACATTCATGTTAGTTTGTCCATTTGATATACAGATTCTGAGTGGAGGCACTGTAGAAAGGAATTAAACCAAAACAACAAATAAGCACACAGCCTGTCAAGTAGTTTTGAGTTATACTGGGAGTTTCCAGTAATCTCTGCACAAGTTCTGCTGGGAATGGGTGCGAATTGGTCATTGATTCCCCAGTTTACCACATGACAGCAACTTCCACCACCTGCTAAGAGCCTAACAGTTTGCAGCCACAAGAAATGCCCTGGTACTCAAATCACTGCAAAGTCCTGTGAGGCACAATGAAGCTGACAACAGGCCAAACGAGACAAAGCTCTGACAGTGGAGGTGATCTAATAAAAAGCTAAGCTAAGTTAAGCACTGTGTGTGCCCTGTGATGGACTGGCATCCCATCCTGGATGTAAGCTGCCTTGTGCCTGTTGCTTGCCAGGCTAGGTTCCAGCTCTCCCCACTATCCTGTACTGGATAAAGAACTAGAAAATAGATGGATGTTTAAATGTATATAAACAGTATATACTGAATATGTATAATGGGTTCAAACCTTGTGAATGTTAAGTGATAGTCACTTCTGGCTAAACCAAGAAAAGATACTGTCTTTTTATAGTGCTCAGATATATTTCTACAGAAAAACAATGGTAGTGCAATGGTTATTAATACTTACTATAGTAGCCATACAACACAGTGTCTTCAATCTGTTGTCTTGTTATGTTGTTTGATGCCCATTCCTTAATCAAACAAAAACAGAAACCAAGGGGTTAACATTTTCAATTGCAAGCATTTCATTTATACCACTAATGCAGGAGAAAACATTTTCTTGCAAAGGTAGGCAAATAAAATACTTTTTCAGAATTGCCCATGTTAATAAATTGCCTCATATTGCTCTAAATAAATCAGAAATCCTGCTCACACTGTGGTAGTTTCATCAGATGTTTAGAAAAAAAATGCTTAGAAAATGATCAAACATAAGTACTCCTTTTTAGGCATAGCTTATCTAACTTTTCTGTACCGTCCCTCTCACCTCATTTCAGGTACAACAATTTTTTGAAACATTTTTAGAAGGTTTTTCTAAATGCAGAAAAAACGAAAATTGCATTCAAACTATATCAGAAGAAAAAATAATGTGAAAGATCTTAAAATGAGCTGAGAGGAAATAGCACAGGGTAGAATACAACTGGTACACATAACAAGGTGCATAATTCACCAATGGGCCACTACAAAGCTAATTGGCTTGCTATGCACATTCCCAGGCAATTAACTTTGAAAAGCTTTTTAAGAAGCTACTGTACTAAATTAGTATTTTCTCCCTCATACTGGCTATTTTTATGCCACAGTTCTATTTTGTTATTTATGTGTAGAAAAGTGATGTGGCTATAGAAAGTTACAGTAAAGAAGTAATAGTAATAGTTTCTGCATACCTAAATCAGAATAGAACAGCTCTGAAAATAAACCTAGTATCACAAGACAGATGTCTCCATTTCAAATATCATCAAAGTACTGTCGGAAACCACAACACCAAAGACACTCAACACATAAACACTTTAAAATGAAATGCTGTCTCCTAATGTACCACGGCACAGATTAATGCATATAATTCTTTGAATATCATGTTCTGCATCCAAAAAAATATTTGGATCAACAGGAAGATGTTATTTCTGTTATTCTAGTCAGAATTTGTTTCGGAAGTCTTTGAATAGAAATCATCAGCAGGAGAGTGATAGTTATAGCTGCTACCTCACATCTCCAGAATCCTCAAGCTGCTATGTGCAGCACACATCATCCTTACCTTGACCATAGGATTTGTTTTTTCCTTAAGTGCCCCGGTTTCAATTTACAATTGTCTAGCCAATTTATACTGTATATGAAACTTTGTATACTTTGTATTATTAGAAATAATACAGAGAAACAATAAAGGCTAACAGCTCTGATTGTTAATTATAGTCCAGTGTTTTCTTTTCTTAAAAAGATTATATTTTTATAATATAAAGCTTTTGGATCTTACCAATAAAATCAATGTCCTTTTTCTTGTTTATAACTTCAGGACCAAAAATGATGGTTTAAAATAAAGTACTTAAACTATTTGTTCATATTTTACTGTAAGCAAGCCCTTAAGTAGGCACACTGTTTCTATACACAGCACCTCCTTTGGAGTACTAGGGGTACCACCATTACAGCTCTTGTTAACAGGATTCAATTCAGGATATTGGAAATAAAAACGAATTAATATTTCTTTCAACAACGCCTCCACACCATGGAGCTCCTGTATTTGAGAAAGAAACAAATCCCACTCTTTAACCTAAATATTATTGTTTCAGAGCACTGGGATGCTATCTCATAAGTAATAATTCCTTACATTTATATAGCGCTTTTTCTGGACACTCCATTCAAAGCACATTTGAGGTACTGGGGTCCCCTGTTCACCACCAACAAGTTAACTACTCTTTTTAAGGCATAGCTCACCTAACTTTTCTCCTCGTCATTTGCTATTATTAAGATCACGCTGCTTGTCGTTTACAATAATTAATAATTAAAATTAAGATCAAAACAGCATTAACATTTTGAGCTTTGCAACCAATTTAAATACCAGCTACCAAACCATTCGATAAATTAACTGGAAAAATGGAAGAGAGGTGGTACTTGGATACTAATTGAGGAATAGGAAGACATGCTGAAATCCATAAAAATACACTAATTAACCTTCATGGAGAGAATATATACAGAAGGTTCTTGTGCATTATTTTAGAACCCCCCAGCCAAAAGTCAAATATGACGATTTTTTGCTGTTAGTTTAAAACGCTGATCTCTGACTGCAGCATGACAAAGTGAGCAGCCGCTTGCCGTGTGCAGAGGAGCACTGCCATTCTGAAAAATTCAGGGATTACTCTGAAACTGATCTCAATGTCACTCAATGGTGAGATCTACAAAAACAAGTGGGCAAGTACTATCCATAGTAACGTACTGTTACACATAGTCAAACAGTCCATGACATTATCACAATAGGGGAACCTGCATTAAGTGCTGCAGCATCAAGATGGCTCACAGGTCTTTCAAGATCCTGAGATTTGTGAGCTGCTCTAGGTGGTCCCTCCTTTATTTTTAAATTCCTTTTTGCTCATGTGCTGTCATTCCTTTATACTTCATACCAAAGAGGGTATCAAGTAAAAAAATGAGGTACAAGCCCTCAATTATAACTGTATAATAGGCAATCCATAACCTGTTATAATACTATTATCTAAAACAGGTTAATCAGTGCTGTACACAATCAAGAGTGAACATAGGTTTTACATGCGAACAAGTAATAGGTTTATTCCATGCTGAAAAAAAGAAGAAAGAGAACACAACGTTTCGGCCGTGGAGCTCTCTCACATCTGAAGAAGGCTCCATGGCCGAAACGTTGTGTTCTCTTTCTTCTTTTTTTCAGCATGGAATAAACCTATTACTTGTTCCTTTGCAGCCTACGCATGCTGACGCAGTTACCCACCTGAACTACATAGGTTTTACATTTCTAACATGTTTATCACATAAAAAGGGTAGGGGGGGGAATTCAACACATAACATAGAAATAGAAAAGTATAAAACTACTGACAGTAGGATCTCAACATTCGTGAGGGTTCAGTGCAGGGAACCATCACCAATAGCCACATCTACATATAACCAGTTCCATCCCTATACAACTGCATTATGTACTACAGTATACAGCATGCATGGCTAAAATACATAAATATTTCTCCCTTACACAATAATTAAAATACTAATGCATTGAATTTACATTAATAAAAACAACACTGATCAACTAAAACAAAGAACTTTAATCACAAATTAATAATAATCAGCTTTAAATACTTCCAGCACTGGCTGCTACTGTATGTGTTCAAGAACACAGTGCGTTACTTTCACAGGCGCTGTCTTCAACTATAATGAGCACAGTGATTGTGTGTTATTTAAACTGGCACATTTAAAATTAACAGTTAGCCTACTGGCTAACATTAATAACTGTAGAAAGGCATTATGAATGCTCCTTTACAATTTGAAACAAACCAAAATGTATAATTTGTTACCCTAGGTAAACTAAAAATATTGCAGTACAAAAACAATTGATTGTTGTGAGGCCACTTCATGATAGGTGTTATTTGTATGGCACAGGCTGTTAGTGTGAGGTAAGGAACAAAATAAATGAGAAATAAATGTAATCACACTAGAGACTGAAATTCAAAAGGTGTGCCAGAATAAGAGTACAATACTTTTTTTCCCCAACATGCATATTGGGGATATTATAAAAGGAATGCAGCAGTGATTCACTCACAGGCTGGATTTGAACCAAACAAACAATAAAAAAGTATAAGATTTGTGTGTAAGTCACAGGCTATAAGACTTTTGCAAAGATGCTTCACGTCTTGGTGGGAATTGAAAAAAATCTAGCTGATGGAGAAAAGGTCTCTTACAAAACCTCAAGGAAGAATTAAAACTTAAATTGAAGACCATAAATATTATAGATATTGCAACTATAATTATATGACTAGCACAACTGCCAATCAACAGATCCACTTCCTGAAAGTGCTAATTTTTTACAATATTTTGCAGGACTGAGGGTAGAGTATTTTTCTTTGTTTCGTATTCCTAAGAGTCCCCAGACCCTGGCTCTAATACCCCGGCCTAGAGTCTACTACTTGATCATGTCCCAATATTGTCCCTGTGAATTTGAAAGTTCCTTCTTTGCACTAATTCATTTCTTATTTCACATTATGTTTGGAGTATTTTACATCTCAGTCACTTTCTGCTTAGTGCTGCATTTTTCACAGTAAAGAAGTATTGTCTCTTCAGTTTTTGGAGGCAAATATAATAATGAACAATTATGCATTTCTCAATGACTGTGGACAAACTTCTAGTGACCAGAGTCTCTTAAAGCAACCTCCAATTACAAATAGTGATATCTGATTCAACTGGTAGTACCTTCTTTGTATGAAACTAAAATACGAAAAACTCACATGCAGACAGTGTATGAAGAAGTAATCAACTTTTGTCAAACCAAAAAATATAGCCTAGTAAAATGATTTTTTAAATGCACATGTAGATAGTCATTATTGAGCTTGAAGACTGTTCTTTGTGATGATCTGTGCAAGAATCTTTTATTGCTCTGCAACTTTTTACTCTAGTACTCTATACTTGAGGACAGAATGTTCAGTCTGGCACCAATTGACAAGAAAATGCTAAATGAATAAATGCAAAAACTAGAATAGCAACACAAAAGAGTTTCAAAAACACTGACTGTAATAAAGATGATCATATTGAGTTGATACTTACCTTGTAAGTGCCATTTTGGTATTTCGTGTAAGACACAAGAAAAATGTCCACTGGAAGCAGTGCTGATGTTATTAACGCAATGGCCAAGGAACATATTGCAGTTATAGTAGAGATCACCTCGCTATCCTGTCGACTTTGATACTTGCGAATATACACCCAGCAGAAAGCCAAAATAACCTGCAGAAAGAAACAATGAGTTATAAACAAACCAAGAAGTTTGGGTCTTTACATCATATTAAAATAGCAATGTGGAGTTTATAAATACAATTATTTTTTATTCTATATAAAATGTTATAGAGGTTTAGCATTGAGAATCATCAATTTCTCCCTTGGTGAAGGTCCTTTTCTTCAATAGACTTTAGTATTTAATCTACATGCAGCATGTAAAATCAAACTGTTATAGGTTATTTTCAGCAATGTTTCCATAATTTCATTATATTTTCATAAAAATTACTTGAGACAATAAGATGGCACCCTTTGTGAAAGAAATCTTAAAGTGGTGCTAAATTTCACTTCCATTAGTTCATCTCCTCTCCTTCTTTCTCGCCAACAGGCTATAAAGTTCATCTGGACAGCAAAACTAAGTCATAAGCCGTGTGTATCTGTCGCACAACGTACTCAAGGGAGATCGCAGTAAGGGAAAGAATAACTGATCCGTCACATAACTGTTTAACTTATGCTGATGGATGCATAAGCAAAACATTAACGTTGGTGCGATAGTACAGTTGTCAGTGGCTTAAAGCAGTACATGAACACAATGCAATATAATGTTGTTGGTCCAACAAACTGACCAACATACATTTTAAGATAATAAACGGTTGTCACGGTTAGTAGTGTTTTCAGAAATATCGTGTATCTTGCGCATTGTCGTTTGATAGGACTTCTCACTGCAGACCGCAAAAGACCACTTTTTATAAGTGAGACGTCCGGACATTAACATGTATGTGTTAAAGGGCTTTTTGTAACTGACAAGGCACGTGTTGTAAAGGAAGTGCTAGACTACAAAAAAGTTACAAAAGCTAGACTAACTGGCATTATTGAACTGCAACACCAGCTTTCGGCCTCTCAGGCTGACCTGAAAGTCGACGTCAAGTTTAAAGTAACTGAGGACACCCTAAATACATAAAAATACTTAATCTGATTCCAAGATAATGTATGTCGTATTTTTTTTATTTTCTCATTATTTTGCATCCCTTACCAGAAGCACAAGAGCGAAAATAGACCACCCGAGCACAGACTCAGATAGCAACGCAACCGCCGCCATCTTCACTTCCTGCAACAAACACTGCTCCCACGTGTGCCTGCTGACGTCATATAGAGGCCCGCCGCGGGACGGGTCCTGCTGTCTGGGAGAGCGCGCTTGTGTTATTGGTTCCCTGCGCGGTCACGGCAACTCCGGTTAAAAAACACGACGTCATGGAACTATCGGAACTATTTTATTAAGCGCATATCAATGAGGTTGCAAATATGGAATTGAATATTCTGTAAAAAGTAATGTGTTAAATAAAGTGGCCTGCACAGTGCATTCAAAACTGATTTAAAAAAACAAGCAAGAAAGTATGTCGCAAGACCACTCTGAAACTACAGTACTTAGCAATTTTAAACGTATACATTTCTGTATATAGATGTTTTCCATATAGTAAAGAAAACTAAATAGCTTTAGTATACACTTTGCAATCTTAGAACTTCTGCTTACATAATTAGCGCATTCGCGCTTCATAAAACACCCCGGAGAGTAACATATCCAAAAATGGGACGTAATAAGACTTTCCACAGCAAGGATCGAGCATTAGCACCCAATATAGCAGTGGAAGCAATCGGAAAATTTGGATGAGGGATAAGCCTGGAAAAGCTGCTCTGTGTAGTAAACACCAGGCTAAGTGCAAGAAAACACATGTCTGTGAGACTCTTCACAGGAAGCCAGTAAAGAATCCAAGACTGTGTCAAGACAGGTTTGTTATACTGTATGAATGAACTGAACCAGGGGTTATTCTTTTAATAGTAAATTCTTTTGTGGTCGATTGTTTGCTGTCTTTGAGACAGGCAGTGAAAAGTGATGTGTGGTCAATCCAGAGAGCAGCGGTGGTCTGTGGTGGAAACTCAGGAGATGCTGACACAGGAGCACTGCCTGCACACAGCTCCACACTCAGAGGAGGATCACGAAGTTACTTATCCTCAGAAAGTACATGAAGGTGCCGTTGCCCTTGGTCTAGGGATGTGTAAGAGGAACTTTGGATATTATCCAATAAAAGGGATAAATCTTGTCAATGAGCTTCTGCTTGCTAAGCCGCATTGCTGAGTGACAATTTAAGAGCTATTGAATCTCTCTCCTAATCACCAATATGTCTAACTCTTACATCTGCAGATCAATTACCCAAGATAAGAGAACTTTCATTAAATGCCAACTTCTCAGAAGCATATTAAATTAGCTCAGAGAGAGGATGAATTGGAGTATTTTAGTACTTAGTTCATATCTAAGAGTATATTTGCATACATGGTAAATAAGGGGCTACTTAGCATGTACATCACGTTAAGAACACATGTAGTATTTTACACATCTTGCACCAGATAGAAATGTGGTATATATCAGGTCCACCTTTGTTAGGCTTTTGTATTTCCATGTGAAATAAAAGTATTAGAATTTCTATGGCTCCGAGGCAGATGCAGACAGAAGCTCTAGCTCAAAAACATTTTGAATGATTACATCATGGAAAAGATCAACTTTCTTGAAAGGAAGAAGAGCAACAAAAAGGTATGAGCTGGAGTTGTGATGGCTTCTTGGCTTCCTGGCTTCTGTTATGAACAGACACTCATTAGAGTAAGCAGTGGTATAGCAGGAGGTAAATGATAATGGAATTGTTCAATGTGAAGAAACATAAAGAGGTCAATAAGAAAGTAAAATACACATAAACATGAGGTGAGGCAACCCCTGATACTATCACTGCTGTATATTAGCTACTGTAGGTCATGGCCATACTGTTGGTTAGCCATTGTGTTTCGGGCAGAGATGGAGTCATCAGGGAGGACAGTGAAAATACTGGTTAAAAGTTTCTCATATGAAAGAATATCTACCATTCATTTTCTTTCTTTTCTTTTATGGAGAAAAAAAGTAAAAATAATGGACAGCATATTTTTCTAACAATTTCTAACAATAAATAGAGAAAGTCAATGCCTTTGAACCAGAGGTCAAACTGTTTATGCAAATATCCATCATTCTCAACTGGATCCTTAACTGGTCTGTAATGACAGCACACACAGTTTGGAGAAGCTCTTAGCTGATCTAAAAGTAATATGAACAACCAATTCAATAATTACCATTACACTGAGGAGACACTATGAATATGTTGTACTTCACTCAGTTTTTCAATGGCACAGTGGCATTGCTTCCTCACAGCACTGGGGCTCTGGGTTCAATTCCTGCTATCTGTGTGGAGTTTCTATGTTCTCCCCATCTTCATGTGGGTTTCCTCCCATATTTCAAAGACATACTGAGGGGTTTATTGGCTTCTGGGAAGACAATTCCTGGTGTGAGTGTGTGCCCTGGGATAGGCTGGCTCCTGTCCAGACTGCACCCCACATTGTGCCTGCTGTGTAGCTGGAAAGGCTCCGCCTCCCCCAGCTGTGGTTAAAGCTTTTTAAGTGGTTAAAAAAATGGATGAATGGATGACTATAGCATTAGTGTTCCTGCTGTTGAAAAGGTAAATATTTCAGTATTGTTGAATAAGCCAACAGTAAGAAAAACGAGCCTAAAACCTAAACTGTTTTACAAAGGGAGACTCCTGAAGAATGGTGCTTTGACCAATTTGACAGTTCTAAGCTCAGTGACAAAGCTAGATCAAGGTTGTTGAGACCTGTATGAAGGTCAGAAGGTTGTGCCAGAATGTATCAAGCTTAATATTAAAAAATAAAATCAAGGAAGAATTTCTGAATCCATGAGATGAAGCAAATAACTTGATTGTAAAGCAGGTGCCTGTGATTTATGTAATTAATCTCAATGTATTCTCATATGATAAAAATAGCAGTATTTAGCTGTTGCTATGGAATCTCTTTATTCAACCAGGTACTCCTTCCATGTCTGGACATGTGCATTCACACCAGAAACTTACCACCTACGGTCCATTTTACAGGAAGTTTTCAAAGTGTTCAGCTCGTCAGTTATCATGGAGCATGGCAAGTGTAGGAAAGTGAATTAATTTAAATGGGAGTCAAGGTATCAAGTGTATATATTAGGGAGCTGGTGATCAGCTGCACAGCATTGTCCAAAGATAGAAAAGCAAGAAAATGCAGAAAGAGCAGAATGAGAAAACCTAAAGTTGTCAGCTAATTGTCAATTATGAAGGGTTTCAGACCATGAGATCATAAATCAAGATACAGAGATCTCCAACTCAACAAAAATAATCATCTTATTGGTAAGCTCCAAATATTTTTTAGGCTAGTGAGTGAATTTTGGAGTAATGCTTGTGTAAACAAAGACTAAAATGATGAAAACTATTTTTACCAAAATTGCATACAACATTCTAAATGTGGTCTTACTAGTGCATTGTACAATTTAAACATCACACCATGTAAGTTCCACACTTTTAACTATGTACTGTATCAGAACATTTTGTTTGTCTTTTTTTGATTCTCTACATTGTCTGGGTCAGAAGTTGTCAATAATGTGTCAACATGTCTTTTTCATTCTGAAAGTAGCTTCCTCAAAGCCAGTGTTCCTCACCTTACGGATCATGTAGGATCATGTTTACTACCTGCATGCAACACTTGCATGTAACATTTATCTTTATTCAAATTCTTCTGTAAAGTGTTGGCAGATTCTTCATTTTTAAATCTTTTTACATTTACTCTGCAATTTCTACAGTGTTTCGTCATACTCCTAAATTGTTATTATCTGCACATTTCACTAGTTTACTAAATATACCAGAAACAAGATCATTGATATACAATAAATTAGTTGTGTATTCCTAATACAGATTGCTCTGTTACTCCACTAATTCATATACTGTACATCGCCACAGTTTAAGAATTACGTTTCCATGTGTACTTTCTATGATCTATCCACTATCACTAATTCCTAATCCGTGTACATTAATTACTTTGAATGCCTAATGAATTCAATTTTAGAATGAATCCTTTATGAGGATCTTTAGCCAAAGCATTCTGAAAGTCTAAATAAACCATGATGTTTTCTTTATTTCTATCCATTTTTGCTATTGCATGTTCAAGAACCTTTAGGAACTTAGGTCAAAAATCTTTTCTAAATCCAAGTTAACTGTCACATAGAATCTTTTTATTACACACAGAACCCTCAGGTTTAGTTTACATTATTGTTGCTATAACCCTTTATGCAATAGAAACATGATTTATTGCTCTGTTATTATTAGGTTCAGTGCATCAGCAATTTTCCCCTAAATGGGTATTACCCTTCTCTAGAGAGACCACTCAAAGTTTTTGAATGAATAACATCTCTGGTTTCCTTAAGTACTTTACATTTGGTAGAATACAATTGTCTCTGCAGACCTTACATGCCTCTAGCACCTGTAACTTCCCCTGCTTCTATGCCAGTATAATATACTGTACTGTGGTAGAAACCAAGAGATTCGAGCCTGAAGCGTCCATTCGTCAAGCTAAGCTTTATTGTACTGTATGCATGCAAGGAGCAACACATTTGAGGCTTATTTTTGTATTGCTCAGAGGGGATATGGCTCTACACAGATTATATATACTGTAACGCAACGGGGGCTCAGGCGGGCGCCCTTGCCGCATCTGGTCGGCCCAAAGTATAGGTGGCTCGAACCCGGGACTTCCGCGTCTCTCTGCAGCGACCTAGCCCCGTGAGCTAAAGAGAGATCTCTCCACAGCCCAGTAGCTGTGGTCCTGCTATCACAGGGAAGGGCGGTGACGTCACCCGCTCTGGTACGCCGGCTCTTACACACAGTGCTTGTCGGCCGTAAGCGTTACAATACTTTTCTCTACACCCTCCCCCTCCTGTCTTTCAGGTAGCTTTCTCAAGAAACTCCAGGACTCAGAAAGCACTTAAAACATTCCTTCCTTATCAGGGAGTTTAGTATAGAAGATGGGAGTTCAGTACAGGGAGGGAGAAGCATCTGTGCTAAAGCAAGCGTGAAGGTTAGAGTTTAGCATGTGAATTCAGCAGAAGTTCACAGCTCCTACCTCTATATGGGTACAGAGTAACATACAGATTCTGCTAGCAGACTCCATCACTGTAGACCTCTGTCTATCCTCAGACTGGGGCATCAGGGCCTTTCTTAGCAAACACCTAAGTAAAATACCC